ATCCTCCACGCCTCTTTCGACGTTACACGATCGGCGATCGCAACGTAGCGACAGACTCGCCGTTATCACCCCCAACAATACAAAACAAATAAAGAAATGATATTGTGAAAAAAAAATTTACATTATTTTCAAAATTTTTTTTTTGAATATACTTATGTAATACAATAATTAATTTATATAATTAATTTATTAATTATAATAGTTTTTTTATAAAAAATAAATTTATTATTAATTAGTAATAAAAATCAATAACAACATATTTTTGAATTTTTTCTTATAAAATCTTTATGAAAATTTTTTCATAAGTGATTGGTTTCTTAGATTAAAATATGGATTGTTGTTATAATAACTGATAATAATTTTATAATAATTTGATTAACATTAGCAATAATTTGTAATATTTTGATTCTATGATTGAAGTATTGTATGTCTTTATTGTAAAGTTTGTACATTTTTATAATTCTGATTACTGTCGATATAACTTTAATAATGTTTGCTTTATTATTCTTTATTTTGATTTTTGTAATATGATGGAATCTTGCCTTGCATATTGTATCTAAGTTATTGAGTTTTCATTTTAATATGATAGGGTAATTCCTAAAGTTTCATTGTTCTGGTGATATAAGCTTGATGTTGTATCTAAATTTTATACTAATACAGTGGCGTGTAGGATGGGGTGATCACTGTTGGTGATCATGGTTGCTATTGTCAGGTTGTGTGGAGATCCTGGTTGCCCACGTGAATCCTCAGGTTATTGTCGTTCTGTAAGTTTGTACAGTTGATATTGCACAGGGTGTGCTGGTAGTTATGATTTTTGTTTCTTCCTTCCTGTCGACTGCTTAGGTTGACCACAGAATTAAAATCCCCAATTGTGATGATGTTCCAGTCGGGTTATTATTCATTTCCGTCATTAATAAGGATAAATGTTTCTGGTTAAAAAAAGATGAACATGGACCTGTTTACGTGGACGCTCGCTAATTAATTTTTTTTTTTTTTTAATTAGACGAATACCAAGATAAAATGTTAGAGAATTTGTAATACTCTTAACTAGCGAGTTTTTATTCGCTTGACTTTCTTCGAAGATCACTTATGACTATCAATATTAGTAGCTCCTAAGACTGTTAAACAACAGACAAGCCCGAAGGTTATCTATGTGTTTTTTGTAGCTCACCCCATCCTAAAAATCTCTATCACGCCACTTAGTATTAAACAGTGCCCTATAAATAAGAACAACTCAACGTCCAATTTATTTAAATTTAAATTTACTTAATGTGCTCACTAGAAGAGAAAATAAACGACCAAATTAAAAACAAAAAAGAATTGGCGAATAATATTATCGTCTATCGTAGCCGCGATGATTTTAAACAAATAGAAGAGATTGGTAGAGGAAATTTTGGAACAGTATTTAAGGCTCAATGGCGTCACCGCAGAACAACCGTAGCATTAAAACAGTTGAATAAACTCGTACTGAATGATCATGCACTTGAAGCATTCTTAGACGAGGTAAAAATATCCTTTAGAATTTATTTGTGGTGATGCATAGTGAATAGCATCAATTTTTAATCGTTATTGTTATCTTTAACAGATAGTCTTAAATATCAAGGTTTCTAATTATGAATACATTAATGCATGCCATGGAATATGTATTGGTAAGTGATGTGATGAATTCTCATACATAAATTTGAGAGTAATACTGTACTGTATACATTTAAATGAAACGAATATGTAGATCCTCTCAATAATGCGTCATTTTCAATGGTTCTTCAGTATGCTGAGGGTGGTAACCTTCGGCAATATTTGAAAAACAACAAAGAATTACCATGGATAGAAAGAGTACGTATGGCAAAAGAAATTTCAACTGGGGTATGTTGTTTGCACGCAGAAGGCATTGTTCATCTAGATCTGGTATGAGTTTTTTTTTTCTAAATACAGTAAATTATATTCATACATTAATTCTTTAATTTCATTTATTTTTTAAGCACACAAAAAATATATTAGTCCATAATGGTAAATGTTGATTTCGGATTTTGGACTTGCAAAACATGTTGAAGAAATATCAAAATCTGCCGAACAATATGGATGCCTAGCCTTTATTGAGCCCCAGTGTTTCAACAACATATCGTATGCTTGTGATGTTAAGTCGGATATATATGGCTTAGGCGTAATATTATGGGAAATTTCTAGTTGTCTCCCACCCTTTAATTCTTTTAGTTCCTTAAACAAAGATATTATCAAACTCAAAATTCTTCAGGGAGTTCGTGAGCAGATCGTACCTGGAACCCCAAAAGAATATTATATGTTATATCAGAGTTGTTGGGATCTTGAGCCAAGTAAACGCCCAAAAGCCACTGAGGTTTTAGACCGATTAAAAGACATAAACATGGGCGACGCCTATATCAATAGGAATAAAAAAAATATTGATAAATGCAACGAATTCATTGATAATATCTCAACAAATTCTTACAGTACCGACAATGTAAGCGATACGAGCTCTTCATCTCAAATAGAATGTATCCATACATCAGTGGAAGGAACCAATTTGGAAAATAAAACGTATAATAGCCCACTTACTAATAGGGTCATAATACCTTTACAAAAGTTTCATGAATTTGATTTTGAAGATTGTGATCTAAGTTTTAACCTTTCGATTAATGAGGAGTTACCATGCTATTCAATTAGAAGTTTGACATCAGCCAATAATATTTCAGGACTAGAAGAGGCTGCTAAATTGAAAATAGATGATTCAGACGATTTAACCAAAAAAAGACGGAAAAATAAACAAAGTAATAACGAAGAGGAAATTTCCAATGGAGAGCGAAGAAAATCGTTAGTTTTTATTCAGCAAAGAGGAAAGGAAAGTGGAGAAAAAAGTGACATCAAAGAGGAAAATTCTGATGAGGAACTAAGCAATTCATCAGTTTCTAATAAGCAAAAAGGACAGGAAAATAAAGAACAAAGTGATAACGAAGAGGAAAGTTCTGACGAGGAACGAAAAGAATCATTAGTTTCTATTAAACAAGATTGGGAAAAAAAGAAAAACAAACGATTATTGAATGAAGCTTTAAGTTTATATGCAGAACAGTATGAAAAAGGAACCGAAAGTGCGGTTAATCGATTTATGCGATGGTGTGCCACAAATCGTCATCAATCTGAATATATATTTAACTTATTGATCAACAATCAACATTCGCCTTATTCAAAGTGTCTAATTGGTGAATTCTATAAATTAGGATTTGGAATTCCCGAAGATAAAAAGGAGGCATTTAATCGTTTTGTGGATGTTGGCGATGAAGATAATGGTCTCGGCTATTTTAATATGGCCCTATGTTATCAGAATGGTATTGGTGTTTCTCAAGATTACAGAAAAGCGTTCGAGTATTTTGAAAAGTCAGTCACATGTGAATCATTAGCAGGAAAAGTAGCGTTAGCTAGATATTATAAAAAAGGGATTTGTGTACATAAAGATTCGCGTGTGACCTTTTGTCTTTATTTAGAGGCCGCTAATAAAGGATACTTTCCGGCAATAATAGCTGTCGAAAAATGTTACTCTCATGGAATTGGAACAGAAAAGGACAAAAATGAGGCGAAGAAATGGTCCGTTAGAGCCGCAATGGAAAATTCTGAAAATGTGTCCGAAGTGGCTGATAAAAACAATTGGTGTGTATATACGTAAATTTTTTTTGTTCTGATTGGAGTTTTTTTAAATAAATGCCTAACAATTCACTGCATGTGCTCATGTATCTAAGTTCGATAATGTAATAGTAACAAAACATTATGAACATTGACAACATATCAGCCTTTCAAGATCTCGCGAAGAAACTCAAATTCCGAATATCTATCATTCATTCCATTAAATATTTTTTTCCCTTGGATTCTGATTTAATTAATTGTATAATTGAAAACTTAAAAATTTATCTATTACTAGAGATATACTGTAAGTATAATTAATGCTCAAATGCTTAACTGTAATATAATAGGTTATTTATGCCAGAATGGTCAAACCAATAAATTTTAAATCAACAACTTAATAAAGCATTCAAAACTTCTAAAAATTCTTTATAATAAATTTTCAAATAAATATTTTAATATTTACTAATACTTTCAAGTGTTTCAATATAGTTATATCGATTATAATTAATTATTTAATAATAACATATTATTTATATTATTATTTTTTTTAACTACAAGTGAGTATTAAATGCAATATTTTATTAAATCATAAAAAAAATTCTAATCCTTATATTAAATGTTCATCCAAGTTAATGCTAGTCTTTACATGTAATAATTATTAGTTTTTAAAAAACAGATAATAAGTAAAAAGAAATTTGCAACAATTCACAAATGGTTAATACTTATTTATAAACAGCTAAGTTAATATGGTTATTAATAAATTTTTTGTTGTTTGGGTTTTTTTATATTATCTGGATCTGTAAAATTATAATAAAAACTTTTTTTACATGGCTTTTAAATAGAATATCATATATGTATATAGAGGTTGTATCCTGCTTAACATTTTTTGTTCCTATATTTGATAACTTAAATCAACTAAATCCTTTAAAATATATATTAGAAGATTTTGAAGTTACATACTACTTGGTTATAGGATCCCTAGATTTGATAGTTAATGTTAACCAAAGATTACAGTTTTAGAATATTTATTAAAAAATATATATTTATATTTAATTTTCTTTAAATTTATAGTTATATAAGCCAAAGTTATAATATGAAAAATTATTAATATTGTTAACATTAAATTGGCAATTCTGTTAATAATGAAAAATCAAACTTATATAATATCAGGCAAGATATTTTTTTTGTTCTACTTGAAATATAGATTTAACTTAGTTGACCTTTTAAACTATTAATCTTATTTTTTCTTTTAAACTATCTTTTCTAAATGGTTTAAATTACAATTTTTTTAGTAACTTCCAGAATAAATCTTTTGTAATAATTTACTTTTAGAAAAATAAGTTAATTAATAACTTTCTTTTAAAATGCATCTATTATATTATTATTTATAGTAATTTTTATTAACACTTGCATAACCATTTTATACTTCTTTTTAATAGATAAAAATATTAATTAAGTTTATTATAATTAAAATTTAAGTTGAAATTATTTAGTTGTCATATTGTTTCTCTTTGCATACTTTTTTATTTCTATTTATATTTCCATTACTATTTTTAATTAATATATTATAGGACTATAATGTTATAACCTATAAACTATCTAAGTTTTTTATTATATTATTAATCTATTTATTTGAAAATTACTAATGTTTAAATTATTAATACCATAAATAGTATACTCTATTTAAATCAAAACAATATACCAGTTAATTATATTTAATAAGCAGTCAAATTGTTTTGTGGACTTATCAGCAAAATATTTTGTTTTAATTGATAATAATAATTAAACAAAAATAATCTCCAAAGTACTTGTTTTCCTTTACAATATTATATGGAAACCAAGATATAACATGACAAACACTTTTTCTTTTATAGAAATAACTTGAAATCAGAATTCTCATCATTTATATAAGAATTTTTTTAGTCAAATTCCATAGTTATTCTTATTAAATATCAAGCTTAAATTAAAAATAAAAGATATAACTATAGATCTTCCATTTATCATTACAAATAAATTTATAAATAGCCATTTTAATTTTATATTATGTTTTAAAAATCTAATTTTCAAACTTAATCAAATAATTACAAATAATTTTGAGTAGATACTTATTGCTGCTTGATATTATCTATGATATATAAAGATTTTAATAGTAATAAACTTATTAATTATACTTTATAACAATTAATATTATTAAATTTAATATTATTAAATTAATATATTAATTAAAATAATATTAAATTAAAATTTATTTAAAATTAATATATTTTAAATATACAGTATATATAATATAAATTATTTTTTTTAATTTAATTTTTAAAAATTTCAAAAACAATTGTATTTTGATTCAATTATTTATATATTTTAATAATGTTTTAATTAATTATATTAAAGATTTATAAATTTTTTTTATATTTATAATTATAAATTATTTTATTAAATCAAATTTATTAAATAAATTTTTTGAAATTAACTTTTTATAATTTTTTATTAATAATATAAAAGTGATAAAAGATGAAGTAATAATATATAAAATTTTTGTTCAATTAAACCAGTAATTATATGTTATTTTATACAAATATATCTTTTCTAAGTATTCCAATTTTAATATATAATCTTTTATTTTTAATAATATCTAGAGGCAGACCAACAAGGAATAAAAATTTTACTATTAGTTTAAACTATTTAAATCTGTTTGTGGTCTAATTTAAAAAAAGAAGTTTTGATTAGAAAATTGGTCCAAATGTCTTTTGTATTTTTTTTTTGATAAAAATTATTATTGAAATATTAGATAATTCTAAATTTTTTTAAAAATTGATAATTTAAATATTAATAAAAAATTTTTTTAATTCTAATATACAAATTTAATAAATATTAATTTTTTATTTTGTTTTAAAAGATAAATATATATAATAAAAAATATTATATTTAATAAATTTTAATTATCTTTTAAAATAAAAAAAAATTATTTGATTTGTAATATAAATAATATTATATAAAATATATATATATATTTTTTTAAGAGTTAAGGTGCAAACCCGTGAGTCTATAGTGTAGTGGTTAACA